TGCGCGTTTCGGTGTACTATAAAGGAATCACGCGCCAAAATGCAGGTTAAATTGCACGGCTGGGTACATGTTAAGTGTTAATTTGCGTGGTTGGGCGCGCTTGTGTATCGAATTACAATTAACAATTAACAACAATTCGGTGCGCTTGCGTGTCGAATGACGCGAACACGGTGCGGCGCGCATTGCACCGTGCACGGTCCGAAAATATAAGAAAATAGAAAAAAGAAGCGTGCGGGCGCCGAGCGACGAAGCAACACAAAAAAGGACACATCGACACGCCCGCGCCGGGGTCGAACCGGCGACCGCGACTCCCACTAGATATCGGAGCTAGCGTGCCCGACGAAGCGGCCCACGGCCATGCTCCGGGGCGCCTTCCGCGGGGGCAGGTGTGGTGCGGTGCGGCGCGGGGCGCCGAACCGAACGAAGGAAGAAGACGAAACAAGCGGCGACGGCGGGACGCGAACCGACGACCGCGGCTCCCACGCGGCGACGGAGCTAGCCTAAAAGGCGCGGCTCCGAAACCGCGGACGACACCCCGAAAAACGCGAAAACAGCAAGCGGCCACCCGGACGGACGGACGGACGGTCAGACGAGGCGCGGTCCCTGCGGTCCCGAGGGTGCCGTAGCTCTCGTCCGGGTCCGGACACGTTCTGGTGCATCCGGACGTTCGGGTGCATACGACGGATTGCAAATGCTTGCATATTGCAAATGCTTGCATATTGCATATGCTTGCAGACCGCATATGCTTGCAGATGACATATGCTTGCAGGTCGTATATGGCATATGCTTGCAGATCGCATATGCTTGCAGATCACGTGTGCTTGCAGATCGCATATGATTGCAGATCGCATATGCCTGCAGACAGCATATGCTTGCAGATCGCATATGCTTGCAGACAGCATATGCTTGCAGATCGCATATGCTTGCAGACAGCATATGCTTGCAGATCGCATATGGCATATGCTTGCAGATCGCATACGGCATTTGCTTGCAGATCGCATATGCTTGCAGACGGCATAGGCTTGCAGATCGCATATGGCATATGCTTGCAGATCGCATATGGCATATGCTTGCAGATAGCATATGGCATATGCTTGCAGGTCGCATATGCTTGCAGATTGCATATGCTTGCAGATCGCATATGCTTGCAGATCACATATGCTTGCAGATCGCATATGGCATATGCTTGCAGATCGCATATGCTTGCAGATCACATATGCTTGCAGATCGCATATGACATATGCTTGCAGATCGCATATGACATATGCTTGCAGATCGCATATGACATATGCTTGCAGATCGCATATGACATATGCTTGCAGATCGCATATGCTTGCAGATCGCATATGCTTGCAGATCGCATATGCTTGCAGATCGCATATGGCATATGCTTGCAGATCGCACATCCTTGCATATTGCATATTGCCCATGCTTGCATATGCAATATCCTTGCATATCGCGCATGCTTGCATATTGCGCATGCTTGCATATTCCAAATGCTTGCATATTGCAAATGCTTGCAGATCGCATATGCATGCAGATTGCATATGCTTGCAGATTGCATATATGGCGCAGATCGCATATGCTTGCAGACTGCATCTGTTTGCAGACTGCATCTGCTTGCAGATCGCATATGCTTGCAGATCGCATATACTTGCATATTGCATATGCTTGCAGATCGCATATGCTTGCAGATTGCATATATGGCGCAGATCGCATATGCTTGCAGTTCGCATATGGCATATGCTTGCAGATCGCATATGGCATATGCTTGCAGATCGCATATGGCATATGCTTGCAGGTGGCATATGCTTGCAGATCGCATATGCTTATAGATCACAGCACAGCATAGCATAGCATAGCATAGCATAGCATAGCATAGCGCAGCATAGCATAGCATAGCATAGCATAGCGCAGCATAGCATAGCATAGCATAACATAACATAGCGCAGCATAGCATAGCATAGCATAGCGCAGCATAGCATAACACAGCGCAGCATAGCATAGCATATCATAGCATAGCGCAGCATAGCATTGCAGATCGCCTATGCTTGCAGACCGCATAATGCATA